TAGTTTGGTTTGCTACAAAGGCCTTCCCGAATCAAGAGTGGATTAGACTCATCAACATGCCAGTTCTGATAGGCGCCTGTGGACAGATGCCACCAGCAACTGCAGTTAATTACACAACCTGGATCATTGTAGGTTTCCTATCTGGCTATGTCGTGTACAGATATCGACCAGACTTGTGGCAGCGTCACAATTATGTCCTCTCGGGTGCCCTGGATGCTGGCCTGGCCTTTATGGGTGTTCTCTTGTACCTGTGCTTGGGCTTGGAAAACATCAATATCGATTGGTGGGGAAATGATCTTGATGGATGTCCATATGCGTCCTGCCCTACGGCCAAAGGGATCGCCTTTGAAAGCTGCCCTGTTCTATCATAATACAAAGAATTCGATTGATTTCTGAACTTCATTTAGTAAATAGACTGCTGCTCTATTTATGTTGTGAAGAAAATCATGCTGCATCAGCAGCATCAACAAAATTATGCAAAAACTCGACTGACTTTGTGCATAACTACATGTGATGGATTCTTTCACCGTGTTGGTACATTACAAGATTTATTGCGCTATCTTTGATCTTCATCATTGAAAATAAACAATAATATTATTTAGTAAAGTCTTCATAATTCTGTGAATGCAAGGCTCCACTTCCACCATAAGACGATAATATACTGGTGTTTGATCGTGTTAACCCCTAAAAACAAAAACTGCGAACCCATTTGAGTAGAAGGAAACACGTGAAGGAAGCATTAAGACAGAAAGTTTGCATAAGGATCCAAAACCGTTTGTCAATTACAGGCTCGCAAAAGGCTGTCAAAGAAGCTCAAGGACAAATAAATAAAGGGTGATTCTTAACCAAAATTGGTTATCAGAATACTAATACGGGGCAGCCACCACCTCCCTATTTGAAGAAAGCATGCAATTAAAATATCTTCCTCTCAAGTAACTATTTCTCCTCTTCTAATTTACGCATCTAGACCAGCAAATTTAGGAGGTGAAACTCATAGTTAGGTAAGATGATTTGTAGATGGTATTTACATTGATCTTTAATTGTAATTGTTCATCAATGAAATCATCCGATCCAAATTTTACCATGAACAGATTGCAGTTGAAAAATTTGCCTAGTTTAAAATTCAAATTAAAGATATGACATAAACCAAGTAGTTGTTGGGTTTTTGATACCCAATAAATCCCGGGCTATGATGTTAACGTGGGTTAATATTATTTCATAGGCATAGGCCGATGAATGAAATAAGTCCAACAACCAAGTCCATGAGCTACACCCGGCCCAATTGTATTCCTTATGGATGGCTTGAATCTTGGCCCGCTTACCCCTTTAGTGGCCCAACTTAAAGCCTAACCCTAGAGTATATATATGAATATAACCCTAGCCTCTTTGTGATGATGATTGTGTGATTTTGAGAGAAGAAACTAGTGAATCCCGGCTGCCCTCCTTTTGTGTGAGAAAAAGGTGTCCAGAAGTGTCCAAAACGCTTGTATAACGTGTGCAATTGGTAGTTCTTTCATAGTATACCTTTGTGGTGTCTTCTCCTAGCCTTTGTGGCGATAAATCATCATCCCTTCTTGTCCTACGTGGGTAAGATTGTATAGCAACCAAGGTGAATCAATTTGGTTGTGGTTTGGAGCCGTGTGGATTGGTTGTTGGTAGAGAAAGGTACGTTGGACTGAGCCTGGAAAATCACCGTTTGAAGATCCTTTTGAGAGAGCTTCCGCAACAATTGGTATCAGAGCTTCAAGGTGAAGGTTTTGGCTCGAGAAATCTACCAGAAATCGTCCAAAAAATCGGCAGAAACGAGGCAGAAATCAGATCGAAAAACTGTCAAGAAAACTGTTAAAAATCAGCCACTGTTTTGGTGTTTTCTGACCAATACAGAAGGAGTTTGGTGAAAAGGAGGCCGAATTCGTGATCTGCAGGTGGAGGCGGTGCTGTGTGACCGGCGCGTGTGGGAGACGGACGCCGGCGACGGCGGCGCGTGGCTTCTCCGGCGTGGCGCGTGTGGGCGCGTGCGGAAGTTTCTGGGGAAGCTTCCTTCAGACAGTTTGTTCCTTGTATTATTTCTAACATTTTTCGTGTTGGAAGTTTTCTGTTTCAGGGTACGCAGAAGAATCTGGACAGCGTTGTTCTTCGGACGTTCGGGACTCGATTGTGATTTTTTGGTTGCTGCAGTTTTCAGAGACTTTAGGACAAATAGTGGTGG